AAAGAAGTGAGAATCGCATGACTCTTACCCGCTGCATGCACCTTTCCCATTTCCTTTCTTTTTCTTATTTCTCGTATTTTTATTACTTTGATGAATAGGATCACATTAGCATTAGATTTCAGCTTGCTTCGCTTACTACTCTTCATTAGCGATACTAGCAAACAGGAACGATGTCCGACGAAGAGGAACAATAGTAAGTAAATTAATTCACTGCCCTCTGCAAATAATTTCTGGAAAGTGACGAGTGAAAATCGTGCTCCAGGCTGATAAACTGTTCTGAAAATTTCCAGCTTTATTTCCCAGGATATCCTCTTTATGGCGTGAAGCTGACATTTCGCAATCTGTCAGGCTGTAAGAGAAAGAAACCGGAGCAATGCGATCTGCTTCCACCTATAAGCACTTCACTTCGCTCACCGGTGGCTCATTAACTAATGAAGAGTTGTCATCTGGACTACACCATCGTCCAGAAACCACGACAGGCAAAAACAACTTTTACTCGGCTATTAATAATCATCAGCACTGTAATGCTGCGCCTAATAGACAAGATCACGGTGCGTCTCAATTTTCTGCTAGCCCCATCCCTCACAAAGATTCGGCGTCAGCAGCACCTTCTACCGACCCTCCAATTACCATTTTTGGATCCTCCCCACGTTACCCAAGGAACTCTTTATGGCTGGATAATGTTTTTCCACGAGACAGATTGGGAAAAAGAACTTCGAATAAGTCCAGCAATGACTTTCCGGGACCTGCAGCTCCGGCTCCGTTCGAAACCCAACCAAACACCAACAAAGATTACGGCGTCGCTTCAAAACGATCTTATGGACGTTCTCGTTCCACATATGTATATTCAGTAAATGGCAATCATGTGGGACCTGTACCGGCTCAGGAATGGAGCTCAGCAGCTCGAAAGACAAGTGGTGCCACTATGCTTCCGAGGACGGAAGATGCTTATTTCGGTCAACCAAACAAGGATAGCGCAACGAATGACGCCATATCACAGATAACAAATAATCGCGGAGGAACAGGTAAAAGCGCATCTCGTCGTTTGTCTGATGATTTCGATAATGCATATGTAGAAAAAGGTTGCAGACAAGCACTGTTGTACACTAAACAAGATGCTGCTGACGCGGGCCTAGATTCCGCTCGGAATTCGGTCAGCTTTTGCCATGCGGCCAAAAATATTACAGGACCACCTATTTTGGGATCGAACGACGTAATTGGGAATTACAGCAGTAAGAGAACTCGGACTGTGTCTTTTGATCAGCAGCTGCTTACTGCTAGCAGTGC